TATTACATTAGTCATCTGCAGTATACAATATACAACTCACAAAACTGGGCATGCTGTAATGCCCGAACCTTCCACACCACTAGCTAGCAATTATCAGCAGCCATCAGCTGCATATGTTTGGTGCTCAGCAAGTAGAAGTAGAAATGGCTAAGCTGTGTGGAACAACAGTGCAATCAGATAGTAAGGGTCATAAAACACATTCCCCTTCCTTTTTGGTTATACACTTAACTGCATTATCCTACTTTGATAGCATCGGTTGAAAATGAAATGTCTTGAATGCATTTTATAAGTAACCCTGTGTTCTGTTGGTTAATGTACTCTTGAAATCTAGATAGTATGAAATACCCAGACTATTCACAAAGTCTTACACAATGTGTAACTTGTAGCTAAAAAGAAATATTTTTTTAAATAAGTTTAAAGCTGTGGCTTGGTTTTTTATTTTCCAACTAAAACTTGGAAGTGCAAAAAAATTAGGAATATATTAAATAATGTAAATACAGCATCTTAAATTACATAAGAGGAAGTAAGTTATTCACCTATAATATATAATATGGAGTATATCCTAAGCATTGTTATGGAGCTAATGCAGTCTTGGCTACTCTGTTTAATTTCTTTACCTGAAAATAACAGAGACAACTACAGAAAAAGGCAGGTACAGTCCAGCTGTTTTTAGTTCTCGGTTCTCTGTATCAACAAACCTTTATATATTTTCTTCTAACCTAAACATCTCTAAACAAAACCTGGGAAAATAATAAAGAAAAATAATATTTTGCTTATTATAGAAAACAATAACTATCACTCTCTAAGAGTTCTAGTTGCTCCTTTGTGAAGGACTCCTATTGCTAAGGTATCATTACCAATGTGACAGAGCTTGTGACAAAGTCAACTGAGGATGCCACAGCAGAAACAAAGGAGAGGAAGACTTCACTACTCTTGGGGTGGGGCAGTAGCAGAAGGGGAGGCCAGGCAGCCAAGTTGTGGAAGCAACTAGCAAAGACTATCTCACAAGGCAGCAGTCCCCGTGAGGAAGTGGCATTTCTAATTCCTTTTTACCCCCACCTGTTCTGGGCAGAGCTTGGTGTTTGAACATCAACTTAAACCAACAGAGAATGTGGCCACTGAGGTAGGGGAGCCAAGAGAGACACTATATGTCAGAGATAGAAAAGGAATTGATTTTACAGCTAAATTAAAATTGATATCCACAAACAATTCACCCTTGGAAAGTAGAAGTTCAGTAGCTCAGCTGGAGCTGTAAATGATTTACTCTAGAAGTTATGCATAGGAGCATGGCATCACCTGTGATTTTTAACCCGCGGAGTCAAAAGTAGTAAGGTCTTATACATCAAAGTAGCTAGGAAGTTATGTTTGGGTAATTTATATCAAAATATAAACATAATTAAGAGACGGATTCCTGACAATAAATCATTGGGAAAAAAAATCTCACTATAGAATTAAACAATTTGAGCTTGAAGGCCAAGAACATATTGTTTTTCAGGAACTATTTTTAAGAGTTTATGAACCCTGTGAAAATCAAGATGTCAGCATTAGATAAAGAGATCCAAATCTAGCAAAAATATGCTTGATTTCAGAGTTTAAGTGACATTGACTTTTCTTGAAATCATTTTTATTCTTTCTCTGATTTTGTTCTTTTGTATACCCAATGATTCATTTAACGTGTGGGCTGCTACGTGCCTTCCAGCATGAACTATGTCAACAGGATAATCTACTGACACAAGAAAATGAAAATGTACAAGTTGAAGGAGACTGCCTAATCTTTATCTCAGTACATAATCTTCTGGAATGTTCAGCATGAATTAAGTCATGGGCAACTGAACATACCACAGGAATAACAAACTGAGCCAATGTGGATGGATCAGTGGTAGCTTAGTCTCTGAGGACTGGAGAGAGGACTGGGGAATATGACTAAATGAAGATATGGATTCAGCAGATCTGGAGTGGACCTGAGGTTCTGCATTCCGAAAATGTATTTACTATTGTGTGCAGATGCGTGACACCTGTGGACGAGCATGGCATGGTGGGTACATTGAGGAGAAAGGACAAGTCTAGAAGTGGTTGTCTCCCCCCGCTTTTATGTGCATCTGGCATCAAACTTGTTGCCAGACCCCCTGAACCATCTTGTCAGCTCAAGATTCTGCAATTTTTGTAAGCGTCCAAATAACATTAATGCCGATGGCCCAGGGACCACATTTTGAGTAGCAGTGACCTACTCCATTGCTGTCAAATGGAGTATTTTTGCAATGGTGGAAATGTTCTACATTTGTGGTTACAGGGCACACAAAATGTGGGTAGTGCAATTAATAAATTAAGTTTCTAGTAAGAATTAACTTAATTTGAATAGCCACAGACATCCAGTGGCTAAAATACCAGACACCACTGATAAGAACATCCAGTTTGTCTCACCTCAACCACAGTGATAGGTCTCCAAATGACCTAACCCATTAATTCATTTCAATTACCTAGCAAACTGAAAATTTGCTCAATTGCCTGCAACATTTTACTAAACAACCTGTGACATTAAACAAAAAATCAGGGAGATGAAAGGTTTCATGGGTAGCAGAGAAAGGGGAGACTTTGGGCAGATATGGATGAGTCACTAGAGTTACCTTGAGCTTTACTTAAGCCTGCCTCTGTTCTTTTCCTTCGGGGAGGGGGTAAACAAATGAACCTTAAATAATTGGAAGAGAGTAGAGCAGTTACAGGCAGGTGCACAGGCGAGCGAGTATCAAAGACATGCTCCTCTGTACCCCAGATGGGACTGGATCTTAGTGAGAGGCAACACACACTGGCCTGTCATTGAAACCCTGCATTGGATGAAATGGTTTCGTTCTGACACAAGCAGAGATTGATGGAGTCTCTGAGAACACACTGCTGGTGAGCAGGTGTCAGAACTCACTGGCATCCAGCCCTGACACATGCGGACATGGATTACAGAGAAAACATGTTCACACGGGACTAAACCGCTCATCCAAATTGCCATCTTAAAGCCCTTGTACTTAAACTTTCCATGAGTCGGGATTTTACAGAATACATAAAAGGTGTTAGCAGGAACTGAAAAGATTACCAAACAAAAGAAAAGCCAATCATTGCTCATCCCTAGGGAAGTAGCCATTAGAACTTTTTCTTTTTTTCTATTGACAAAGAAGTATTTGGGGGAAGGTGAAAACCCAATAATGATTTTTATATTAATACACTCTTTATGCTGGAGTCCCTCCCCAACCCTTAGCCCTTTCTCCTGAAGGATGACCTGGGGATAGCACTGGGAATCTGGCATCTAATAATCTGGTTCATAGAACTGCTGGCAGTGTACTCACCAGGGGGAATACAAAAGGGACTGCAAAGGACACCTTCAACTTCACAGGTATGCTTCACACTAAAATTACTAAGTGACTGGCTTATTATCAGCTCAAATGCCCTGACACAAATTATCTTCAGAAAATTTCTGCTGTGCACAACTTAGGTAAAAAATATATAGTCAGACATACTTATATGGTCAGGAACCCATGGAGATTGTCAGCTGATTTTTTTTTTCACCCTGCTATGGGTGGTGCCAAAGCTCTGCCTGTTCACTCACTACTGAACGTCAGGCCAGGTCCTCATTTATTTTTATTTGTGATTTTTTTTAAACTAGTAAATACCCAAGCTAGAAATAAAAATAATATGTCAAACAATGGGCAAATGATTGTCTAGAAAGTGTCATGGATGCTTATCTCAAGACAACAGGTAAGTAAGTGCATGTATACAGGGAAAGGTATATGGTCATGCATGTGTACACATGTGTGGGTATGTTTATCTACTGAGCACCTGGAAGATCACTTTGTCAAAAATGTCTCTGCTGGACCAATAGTCTTCTTTCTTCTCTTATATTTACAGAACTTCCAAATACTCCAAAGGGTTTTTGGCATATAATGACCAGAAAACACTTATAAAGATTTTTTTTTTTTTTTACTTTTTTGGTATCTATACCTTTGGCTTTCAAATACTTGATAATTCTATTGAGCAACATTGACATATAATGGTTTAGAAAAGGGAAAATGATGTCTACCTGATAGACTATCAAAACGAATGTGAGATAATAATACAAAAAGCCCTTAAGAAACAAAATTAAATTTTTTCCATTGGGGAGTTCATGTCAATAATCGCTTCAGCTAGTCCAGATAACTCAGGTGCAAATCTCAGCTGAGGCCTGGGACAATTTGTAGGTGTCAATGGTCTTACAAATTCAAGCAGAAACTCAAAATGGTTATTAAATTGAAATGAAAAAAAAAAAAAAACTGGGAACAAAATGTGAGGATTTGGGTTTGGAAAGTTGCAGTAAGTTTTTTTAGGCAAGAGAACATGTAAAGTGTATGTAAATACCCAACAATCCTCTTAATGCACACATCTATGCATTGGGACAGGCAAATAAATTTGGTCTGTGTATGATGTATATAATTTGTTGATCATGGCACAGATGAACGTTCACAGAGTCTTAGGTATGGCATAGTTACTCAAAAGTCCACACTGAGGAAAAGTGCCGTTAACTAGCTAAAAAGTGCTTGGGTAGTTGGGTGGTAATAAATTAAATTTCACTATGACAGATATTAAAGCTACTGAAGTACTACAACAATATATGTGACATGCAAGAAAAAGAAAGACAACTCAGGCAGGAACACTGTGCACTACATTTGCATCAGTTGTAGTATGTGATGGATTGGTCTCACCGTATTCTTGGACCAGTGGATACTGGGAGCTTGGGGTGAAAAGACTCAAACTACAATTCCTATCTTCACAGCCTAACCAGTGGTTTCTAGGAAGGAGCCAATGCCTTCAGGAAGGAAGCCTGAGAAGTTTCAGCTGCACACTGTTAACACAGCTGCAGGCACACAGAGGAGCCTCCTGCTGGCCCCCAGCTCTAAGGAGAAGGGACAATGAGCAAGCAATTCCACCT